CACACACACACACACACACACACACACACACACACAAAAACCTTTGATAGGCAATATTTGTAATTATGAAGATAATTATGAAATTTCTTTTATATAAGTAGTAACTGTAGTCTTGTTAGAAATGATCCACATCAAACCCACAAGCTGTTGGTTCCAAAAAGAACCTTACAGTTTCTTATTGGTTGAGCTGTTCCCTTGTAAACTTCAGATCATGGCAGAAACCATCCAACAGTGACATGAAAAAAAAAACACACAAACACATAAAGCAATTTTATGTTTAATTGAGCAGCTTCAATGAACGCTAGTGTCTTTTGGTATCCCTGGTAACACGTGGGTGTCCGTATGCGTCTCTGGCTTTCATATGCATACACACAAATTCATGCTGTCCTACATGCATTCAGACTGTTTGCACAGGCTCTTTCTGAAAGCACACAATAATACAAGCTCAACATTTGTGAGAACCATGTGTAATGTAAGTCATATGACATATCGAAAAGCCATTGTGAAATTGTATCACAATGGAAGACAGCTCTATCTCTCTGCACTAAGCCGTTGATAAGCCAGCCAAAAGATTCAATCAGAAAAACTGAATGCATCCATGAGCTCAATATACAACCACCCTTGTCCTCTGATCTCATCGGGCTGCATCAACTTTTTAATCAGTCTGACCATTTCTATTTTGGACCCTATATTGCTAAAATCCGGATTTTCGATCGCGAATCCCAATTTCAGCTCATATCCACCTTGAAATGTCACAGCGAGGTTTCTATATGAAACTATAATCAAGGCTTATTTCAAGGTGAAGTAGGAAATATCTTGTGCAGCATATCATTACTAACACAGACTGAAGACTGTGATTACCCATAATTACAGTCTCTTTTTCTACAGCATTAAAATGGTTTTAAAGCATTCTGCACATTGTTTGGGCCTTTAAGTGGGATTTATGTAAACATATTACACAATTACATTTGCAAAACATTCTGAAGCATTTGTAAAATGAAGCTTCTCTTCGCTGCCCCACAGACACGTTTTGCATTTGTTTACTTCATTATTGCTTGTGTAATGACTTGCTGTTCACTTATAGTGGCAGCGCAAACCTGAGTGCTCCTGTGGTGCAAAGGTGATAGAGTGATTAAAAATAAGAGCAGGATGAGGGAGAGGAGGAGAGGAGAAAGAAATCATAAGGAATTTGTTGTGTGGAAACTTTCAAAAACATTACACACATTTGCCACAGTACATTAGCTACACTCACATTCCTTATAATGAACTAGTGCAGAGTAATGGCTGGTTTTGATTATTGTTGATTGCTTTTATACATCTGACTATATATGAGTTCATGATTACTCAACTTTATTGCTTTGGAAAGATGTGCAGAATGACGTTATAATGACGACACTGTGCTTAATGTGCATCTACTAGAATATCCGCTGGTATTAATATTTCAGACATTTTAAAATTGATTTTACGCTCCACTAACATGATATTAATATGAAACTGCTGTTCCTCTTCAAACTTACAACTTGCAGTGTTTCTCTCTCACACACACATACAGTACACACACGCATACAAATTCTGTTGTCATCTGGATTCATAATGAACCTATTTCATTTTAGTATATTATTTATTCAACTTAAAAAAAACTGGAATGATCAGTCTGTAATGTAGGTATAATTTGTCCTCCCTTCCTTGAGACTGCAAGTAGATTCACTGGATTCACTGTCCTCAGAGTTCGAACTGAATACCAAAGAGTGAATCACAAAGGCTTCTGGAGTTTCTGGTTACAGGCTATAAATGCATCCCCTATATGCTTCTATTTTGAATTAAATAACAGACCAAACAAAATAAAAAAATTTAAAAAACAATTATAAATTATTCTTATTCTGAAGGCTCTGAAGAGTTATGAACATCATGTTTGTAATCTTAAAATCATCAGTAATTACAACACCATCAGTCCACCAAATTACAAGATCACTTCTAAAATTGTTTTTTTTTTTAGAAAAGAAACCTTTAACCTCTGTAGCTTTTAAACTTTATTCGGTTATTTCCAGGATGAGGTCATCTCCTTCCAGGCTGCTGTCGGCATTGACGTGCACCTTGGATATGATGCCTGAGATTGGCGAGTTGACAACTGTCTCCATCTTCATGGCACTGAGGACGCAGAGAGGCTGACCTTTCTCCACCTTCTGACCTGGCTTCACCTTTACTTCCACCACTTTACCGGGCATGGGAGCTCCAACCTGTCCCCGCACGTCTTTCAAGGCTTTAGGGTGAAAGTGCATTTCCTGGTGGAGCAGAAAGCAGAATGAGATGATTTCAGGGGAGACCAGAGGCAATGGAGACATTTTTCACATTTTCCCTCACAACTCTTTTCAAACTGACAGTCATCTTCTGCTGTTAGAAACATATATGAGTAAAAGGACCATTAAAATATTTACAATGATAAAGATTTAATACAAAAACTAATAATATTAACACTAATCCACTGTCTCTCAAAAAAGAGAACACCTCAAACAAACAATATTTGCGCTTATATATTTATATTAACATAAGAACAGACATGGCCATTATGTGTGAGGCTTCCAGTGTCAATTACTTCTAGTTATTTTACCTGTACATCATATGTACACACCTGTATCATCATAATGTTATATTTCACTATAATATTTCAATGTTATTGTTTGTACTGCAATTTTTATCAAATAAATGCAGTCTTGATGAGCATAACAGAGTTCTTTCAAAAACATTAAAGAATCTTACTGACCTACTACTTTCATATACAGTTTATTTATAACACATAATAATTTTAATTTTAATAACATTAAAGTATGTATTTGGCATCATTACTTCAGTCTTCAGTATCAGATGATCCTTCAGAAATAATTCTAATATGCTGATTTGATGCTCAAGAATCTTTTTATTATTATTATTATTATTTAAAACATTTAAGTAAAAGTAAAAGTAATGTATATATATATATATATATATATATATAGCCCCATAAATAATGCATATTTGATAGATTAATTCATAAGTGATACAATATTTATTTCATAACTAAAGTTACATAACTACTGTTTCCCCAACTTCATAGCCATGATAAATGAGGCAGAAACCAGCGACAATGTCAGCACCTGTCATTCATGTTAACTTTTAACAAACAGTCTAGAGATAAATCAGTTTTAAGTTTCATTTCAAAGCATCCAAAACTTTAGACAGCAGAAGAAAAATGTTGGACCCGCAAAAACAAACTTTATGTCATGAGGAGAAATGCTCTTGCTAGCTGTGTTCAGGCAGAAGGAGAGCTCTGTTGAGCATATGCTGAGTAAGTGTCATCACTCTGACTTATCTGACATTAAGTGTGTTTTGAACGTCATCAGTCTGCCATACTGAGCCAAAGAAGACAATAATAAACAAAAAGAGCATCTACAAAGAGAGGAAACCATTTTTTCCAGGCTAGGACTATTTGAATGTTTGTTTACCAGAGAGAATATCTTATAATGAATGAATCATCTTTAAAATTATGTGTTATGTGTGGGCAAAGAAAGTGAGATCTTCAGTTCTGTCAAATCATGCTGTAATCTGCCAAATTATATTTTTACAAGCAGTGTGGTGCAGTTACAATTGCTGTGTCCATGGCTGACATAAAGTTCCTACACAGCACTATTGACTTGTAATGAAAGTGTACATTGGGCTTCCTGATAATTTAAAAGATGTTTTTTTAACACCTCTATGTGATAAACGCCCATGACATCAAGAGCAAGATCATTTTTAGCTTATGACAGAAATTATTCACACCTCGAGAGAGAAAAGGGAACATTCGCAAAACATGTCTGAATGATTGAGTGTACTGTTTGCGTCAGGATAATTGCTTTTCAGTGATGAAACAAACCAATCTAGGGAGGAAAATAAACAGCGAACAGTTACCTTCATTGCTGCTGTATCCTTGACCAAGACTGAACGCAGCTGGCCGTTGAGTTCAAAAAACACCTCCCTCTGACCAGACTTGTTCAAGTCACCCAAGGCCAAGGCTTTGATGTGCAATGTTTTCCCTCTCTCCAACTCCACCTGTGAGAGGAAAGAGCCAGAGTCACATAAAAACACAGCGAAAACAAATCACAGTAACTACTGTAGGTATGAAAAATGAAATGTAGTGTGATTGTGTTAAAAAAACAAAACAAAACCAGACTGGAGCACAATAGGCCGAAAAAACATGGGCAAAATGAAGGCAAAATTTAGGGATGAGTGATTAGCACAGACCTCTGGGAGGCTTTAGGTCGGTACCATGTGCTGTTTGGCTGTGGAGGGAATGCTATTTTGGGGTGCGCCTGCATTCGCCTCAGTGACAGCTTAATATAGCTCATGCTAATCTACGCTAATCAGCCACGACTAACATCTAATTTGGACAGCTCCACTGGGTAGAGAAACACGACGCCAAATAACTTCAGTCCCTGAGAAATTTACGATTACGCATGTTAACTGAGGAAAATCTGCTTCAGTTTGAAAGGGTACCGAGAGACCTGGTTTGAAGAATCAGGCCAGAAGACGATTAAGAAATGCAAGCAAACTCGATCTAACAGATTTGATGCATTTTCAAAGTAAAATGACTTTGTAGGTGAGTTCGCTTCACTTCCTGTCTGGCTCTCGCTCTGTCTCAGAGCATGATCAGCTATGCGAGTCCTGCATCTGGTACTCTCAGTTCTCGCGGTGCCTGCAGTAGGACTCCGAGACACATTCATGCCTGCCAGGTAACACCCACTTCACTCATAACTGGGTATTAGGAGCCAAACACATGGCTAAGCTCCAATCGACACATTTAGAAACACCGTAGGGCATAGCTAGATAGAGATACAGCCACACAAGTTTGAGATGATTCAGAAACTAGCATAGAATAAGCTAAAAAATGTAGACTCCCCGAACATTACAATGTTAAACTCTGTTTAATTAGAGCTGTAAAACATCATTTATGCTTTATTGGACTTCACAACACCTTCACAAAGAGAGCCTAGATGTTCAAAGTAATATATTTTGAACACAAAAGAGGCATGCTATTCAATCTTACTATGCTAATCAATTTACAACCACGGTCACAAAGTGTGCTAATAAATTTTGTGAAAGTGGAGGCTAGTTGAGGACACAGGAAATCTAATTTTGCAAATCTCCCGATGAGAGAGCAGTCAGGCTCTTGGCTAAAGCTTAAAAGGTCAAATCCCATAGTGTTATAAATTTAACAGGCTGAAATATAGTTTAAATAACTTAGTACAAGAAATAAGGCACAGTGAGAAATACATATTCTGCTAATAAGTTTACATAACCCTTGCAGAATATGCAAAATGTTAATAATTTTAACAAAATAAGACGGATCATAAAAATTGCATGTTATTTTTTTAGTATGGTCCTGAATAAGCTATTTCACATAACAGATGTATACATATAGTCCACAACACAAAATAATAACTGAATTTATAAAAAAGGACCCCGTTCAAAGGTTTACATACCCTTGAATCTTATTTCAGTGTGTTGTTACCTGGATGATCCACGACAGTTATAGTTGTTCATAAGTGCCTGAGCAGTTCAACTGCCTGCTGTTCTTCAGAAAAATCCTCTAGGTCCTGCACATTCTTTGGTTTTCTAGCATCTTCTGCATATTTGAACCCTTTGCAACAATGGCTATATGATTTTGATCTTTTAACACCGAGGGCAACTGAGGGACTCATACACAGCTATTACAAAAGGTGAAAACATTTACTTATGCCCAAGAAAGCAACAAGATGCATTAAGACCTGGAGTGTCTTTTTGAATTGGATAATTGGGGTAAATTGGGATAAATAATTTAAATACTTATACTTCTGGGAAATGTTTAACTATTTTATGTTGCTTCTGAAGGACAGTACTAAATGAAAAAAATATTATCTTTAAACAAAATAAGAAAAATGTACTCATCATCCTGCTCAAAAGTTTACATGCCCTGGATGTAAATGACACACAGTTTTAAGATTCAAGGGTATGTAAACTTTTGAACAGGGTAATTTTTTATAAATTCAGTTATTATTTTGAATTGAGTATGTGTAAAGGACTGCTATGTAAAATCGCTTAAAGGGGTCACATGATGCAATTTCAAGTTTTCCTTTCTCTTTGGAGTGTTACAAGCTGTTCGTGCATAGATAAGATCCCTAAAGTTGCAAAGACTAAAGTCTCAAACCCAAAGAGATATTCATAATAAAAGTTAAGACTCGTCCACGCCCTCCTAAAAGACCTAGTTTAAACACACCCCCACATGTCTACATCACTGTGTGGGAAGATTTGCATAACACCACCCAAATGTTCACGCAAAGAAAGAAGGCGTAACTTTGATTCTCGCTGTAGTATTGTTGCCTCCACCGCCATGTCGTGGAGACGCTGTGTTTCATTGTGAAAGCGAAACTACTTTGTTTGGCCTTCCAAAAGAGGACACAACTAGAAATCAGTGGTTAAGTTATATTTACAACACTGTTCCAGAACAGTTCAACCCAAATATTCAGATGTGTGCAGCACATTTTACGGAGGACTGTTTCCTGAACCTGGGAGAGTAGCCTACAATGCCATCTGTGTACAAAGGCTGTTTCTATAAAGTGGGGCAATTCCAACTTTGCAGTCAGATACTCTGCTAAAAAATATCTGTTTGGTTTTGATTATCATGTCTATTGCGCTGAAATCATGCGTTTTAAACCATATTAGTTAAAATTTTCTGATATATGGTTTTCTGAGCGCACACATCCGAAGCACTTGCACAGAAAGCGGATTTCACACAGTGTGTACATGCTAAACTAAGTTTTCTTTCGTGTCTTATTGTGCTTAAACTGTCAAATACACACAAGTTTGTGTTAAAAACACACGTGTTTCATAAACAGTTGGTGAAGGTAAACAGCTGGGAAAGAAATTGCATGTTTATATTAGATCTATGTGGCAGCAGCATAATATACAGTAAATAAATCAATAAATCCACTGCTCTCTTGTCTCCTCTGAGGCTGGGACTTTAAATAGTGTTCTGTGCTCATCAGTGCAGCCAAAGAAAGAACAGTTAGCATGCTTTGCTCGAACTTTCGCCATGGCATTAGAGCTGGTACACCGCTGACGCTTGCGAAAACACAATGGCGGCGCCGTGGGTGGAAACTTGCGTGGAATCAAGGGGTGGTAATATTATAATAATATCCCCCTTCTATGTCATGGGGGGAGCAAAATCTGACACGCTCGTTTTTTCACAAGCTTGCAGAAAAAGGCTCACCAAAAAAAAAAATGACTGAGTTGTTCTTTTTCACGTTTTCTGGGTTGCACTGGGGACCCAATTATAGCCCTTAAACACGGAAAAAGTCAGATTTTCATCTTATTTTGTTAAAATTATTAATATTTTGCATATTCTGCAAGTGGTATGTAAACATATGAGCAGAACTGTATAAATAAATAAAAAGAGACACATCATTGAAGTCAGTTGATGTAAGGCTTATTGTGACCCACCTGAAACTCCTCTGCTATTTTGGGGCCATCCAGAAACAGGCGAGTGTTAAGGCAGTCCACTGGGCCAAACTTTGATGTGAACTCTTTAAACTCCTGGAAGACTTTAGGGTACATGGCTGCCGACATCACATCTTCAGGAGTTATTTCATCACCATGTGTCATCTGCAGATCAGACTCTAGAGTCTCGAAGTCCATTGGTGGAAGTGAAGCCCCTGGACGACCTTCGATTCGAGGCAATGACTTGAGAACCTTTGAGAAATATTAAACTTGTTACACTCTGGAAAAAATTTAAAAGCTGTAAGCTTTAAGGGTACAGCAGCTTGTCACTGGGGCAGTGCCCTCAAAGAGGCATCTTTGATAGTAGGGTGCATATTACTGCTTTAGGGTACTAATATGCACATTTTAAGTGTAGATAAGGTACAAAGTTGTCTTTTTAAAGATGCTGCCTCAGTGACATACTGAGGTACAATTGTTATTTATTTATTTACAGTTTATGGGCATAAACTATACATAAAATCACTAACTCGTGAAGAGAGTTCACCCAAAAATGAATTTTTTGTCATTATTCAAACCCTCCCTAGATCTCCTTGACATGTTCATAAGAGTTTAATGAAGAAGTAGCAATGTCTGAGTCGGGGGCCAATAGTTTTTTTCTAAATTTAGGGCTCTACAGTCACTGTCCTGATTCACTTTCATGATATGGACATTGGCAAGGATATTTTTCAGTGAACTACTTCTCTAATAAAACTGAAAGAATGGCCAAGGAGAATTCGTCTTGAGTGAAATGACTTGCTCATGACAACCAATCCAGGTTTTAGATTCTAACAGCTCAAGAACAAGAGAGCTAAATACTAACGTGAGTCAGTCTTCAGGTCATGGGTCACATCTCTCTGGGATCACTCCTGCAACTTTGAGATTTCCAGCCCACATTTTGAATGGATTCCGTCACCAAAAAGCATAAATATTTAGCAAATGAATCAACAATAGCACCATTCACTATCTTACAATGTTTTTGTCCTCTGGCTAGTGCCTGACTTTGCAAGCTCAAACATACTAAATACATCATTAGTGCTGTCAGAGTGGGCGTTAATGAACAAAGGCAGAAACACTTTGACAAATAGGTCAATTGCAAAGGAGAAGCTACACCATCAAATATGCCATTAAAACGACTCAATTCATTATGGACAAAAACTTGCTGATTTCTCGGTGTTGGCAAGGCAACAACAACCAAGTGACACTATTTTCTCCTTTTTGTTTCACAGCAGTGAGAACGAATTGAAAAATGGTCCTTGGACTTGCACTGAGAAACAGTCTGGCGGCTAACGGAAGCAAAGTGAATAGACTACACAAAAGGGCTGGTGCAGGAGAGAGGGAGAAAACAAAACAGATCAGCTCATAAAACGCTCAGCAGTCCATTTTGTTATTCAGATAAAATAGTTGAAAAGGCTGCCTGCAGTCCCAACTAGGGCTGTGTATCACCAGCAAAGTCACGATACGATACGTTGTGACGATACATCGTCGTATCGATATTTTGAACACAGCACTAGTCCCAACCCACCTAACTTTTGAATAAATTGCCACTTAATAGCAGTTGAGTCATAATTTCAGGCCATATGGGCTCCGTTTTGTTTGATGCATCCTATAGGTTTATTTGAGTGGTTCTGTGACTCAGTTACCTCGTCTGAGTGTTTGTATGCAAGCTTATTTGTCCAGGCTAGCTTTGGGGTAGAGAAGCTCACTCGTGTACTTACTTCTAATCTTTTTTTTTTCCCTTATTGCTCCATCACTTGAGATTCCACAGGGGCATTTATTTATTTTCCTACGTCAGTCCTGTGAAGCTTATGATTCATATATAACAATCTCAATACCTCAGAACTGAGAGGCTGTTTGTTTTTATCAATAGAGTAACACATCTCAGAGTCCTCACTGGATGTGTCAGTGGCAGACATTGCAAATTAATTCTTAAAATGATCCAAGGGCAGAAATATCTGCGCAGAAGAGCATAATTAATATTACAAAGGTGCTTTTATACATTACAAATGGGATGTACAAGCTTTGCATTACCCCAAGAAATATATAGGCTTTCTATATCAAAATCTTAAATGAATAGTTCAGGCAAAAATGAAAATGATGTGGTCATTTACTCACCCTTATCTTGTTTTAAACCTGTATGAGTTTCTTTCTTCTGCTGAACACAAAAAAACGTTATTCTGAAGAATGTTTCAATGAAACTCAGTAGGGTCCAGCATTGTCGTGGACCCCACTGACTTTCATTGAATAGTCAAAATAAATACTGAGACATTTTTCAGATTATCTTCTTTGTGTCCAGCAAAAGAATCATACAGGTTTGGAGAGACATGAGGGTGAGTAAATGAGAACAGAATTTTCATTTTCTGGTGAACTGTCCTTTTAAAGATTGCGAAAGGTCTGTATCGCTTTTCCACATTTAAAGGGTCATGAAACCCCCTACTTTTTCTGAGATTTTAGCAGAGGTGTTTGTGTTGCACATCATAGAAGACAATGTTAGCATCCGATAATTTTAACTGTTGGAGAAAACTGGTTAATTTTAAGCTTTTTTTGCGCTATTTTCATCTTCCGGGTTTAAAATCTACATCGTATTGACGTCACAATTTGTGACTTGGCAATGGACTAATAGTACATCGATGACGCGTCGGTGTCTATTAAATTATTCATGAGACTGCATGTTCTTATCCTATGAGAAGACGCTTCGTTTAATTATTCACAACAGCATGTGTTGATTTGCTATGACAGACGTTTCAGACTGAGATGACATCCCGCACATTAACTGAGAGAAACGTTCATGGATTGAAGAAGAGTGTTTGTTTTTTCTTTTTAATAAGAGTTTGGCACAAACGCGATTCATTCACTTGTTGAGCATAACCGTTTTTACAGCTCTATGACACAACCCGTCAAAAGGCTTATATAAACGCCACAGAATAAGCCTTAAAAGTGGTGCACCAGCGCGTTCATATATATGTTTTCGATGCAGAGTGCATATGGCTGTGCATTTATTTGTGTTTTTAACTCGATGGGAGCGAAATGAAACTGTCTGAACGCGAAGCTGTGTGTGTTGTCTGTCTCCCCTCTTCCCCCTCCGCTCCGCACGACGCCCACTTTTTAGCATTTTTTAAAACTGTGGTGAGAACTAACCAGTGCTGAAATGGGGGGTTTCATGACCCTTTAACGTCCTCTTCCAGGGAATGTACATATAGCCCTAATGTGGAAAAATTCACAAAACCTAAAAAAGAAAGTAGTAAAGTAGGGATGTAACGGCATGAAAATTTCTTATCACGATTATGGTGACCAAAATCATCACGGTTATCAGTATTATCACGGTATTGTTAAAATGTGCTGGAGATGTTCAAAAGGTAATGACACATAAATCACTTCAAGTTTTATATTTAAAAATCAACAAACATTCCCGTAACCTCCATGGACAAAGCAGTATTGCGATTAAAGGGTTAGTTCATCCAAAAATGAAAATTTGGCTGTTTTTTTACTCACCCCCGATGCATCCTAGGTGTATATGACATTCTTCTTTCAGACGAATCCAG